CTCGCCGCGCACAGTCCAATGCCCCGCAGCCCGGGGCGAGGAGCGACTGCGCTTTCCTGCCGCGGCACGGCGAGTGCCTCCAGCCTAGGAGTTTTCCTGAAGCAGCCGTCACACCGGGAGCACTTTTGGTAGAGAGGGAGCAGGAGGAGACTCCGCAATGACTTACCTCCCGAGGCGCGACTGAAGGGGACTTGCCGGAGTGGAACCGTAGTGGAATTTGGGTCTGGAGAGGAGTTGCTAACGCTTGTTTTTCTGGTTTTTTGTTGTTTTTTGTTTTTTGTTTTTTTTTTTTATTCTTCTCCTTGTTCCCTCCCCTCTTCTCGCCCGTCACTGGAAATGAACAAATTGCATTTGCAATTCAGAAAGTAGAAATATTAAATACTCCATCCCCCGGGACGCACACATGTAGTAATGACAAAGGATTGCAAAGGAGAGAGTGGCTCCAGTTTCCCAGAGAGATCCCCTTAAATGGATTACTAAATGGGACACTACATCAGCTAGTTCTGTCCTCTAGCTGCCCAGATACATGCACCGAAAAGGTACGGTACTCCCCCGACCGTGTCCATGCCTGATGTTTTGGGGTTGCTCGGAAAGGAGGGCTGCCGGGTCGCCCCGGCCGGCTCGGGAGCAGCGAGGACGGTGCGTGGTTTGAGGCTGGCGGCTGCGTTCCGTCTCGCCGGCGTTTGCAGCGCCTGGGGAGGGGGAGAAGAGCCGCCTGCAAGTGCACACGCTGCGCTCGCTGGTGCCACTTCCCAGGCATCTCGTGGCTTCGCCTTTCTTCCCTTTTTCCTCCTTTTTCATCCCCACCCCGCCCCAGCTGCTCGGGAGCAGCGAGGACGGTGCGTGGTTTGAGGCTGGCGGCTGCGTTCCGTCTCGCCGGCGTTTGCAGCGCCTGGGGAGGGGGAGAAGAGCCGCCTGCAAGTGCACACGCTGCGCTCGCTGGTGCCACTTCCCAGGCATCTCGTGGCTTCGCCTTTCTTCCCTTTTTCCTCCTTTTTCATCCCCACCCCGCCCCAGCTGCTTAACGTGCTGGCCGTCCTCCCCGG